AGCTACGTCATCAGGTTTTGCGAAGGAGAGATTGAATGAAAACACTCGGTTTGGTCCTCGAAATTACACCGCAACAAAGGAGTTTCTTAGTCAGTGGCGTTGCGTGTGAGTATCCTTGAGTCCCACTAGTGCCAGTAAGCTCGTGTAAAGTGAAAAACATTCCAATTGAATATCGTTGCACCGCCCCTTTAATATCCGGGACTTAACGCTGCCAATTATGATACTTTGATCTAAAGTAACGGAGAGAAACGTTCAACATTTTTTTTATTATTACTTCGTTAAGTTTGGTCGACGATAACGAATCTCTGTAATAAGTTAATTAATTTTCGACAAACTGACGGGTAAATCTATGTCGTCACTTTTTTCGGTAATGGTCACAACACCCTTTCAAGCGGCGTCGGTTACAAGGTTCATCCCGATAAATTTCTGCGCCTTAGATCGATTAAAGTAACCATAAATAATTTTTTTTTTTAATAAAGACCTAATTAATGGTTACTGTTCACAGAACTTAGAGCAGGAATCCGATTTTCTTTTCTGGCCTCCAGTTTTTCACAAAAAGAAGATGAAAGCTCAAGTCTGTTTTCTTCCTCGACTCGACCGAACTCGGCCACCAGCATGTGAAATTACGTGGCCGCGACGTAAAATATGCCATTCTACCTGAAACGGAAGTTCTCCCCAGCCGAGCGAGGGAGGGGCACTGAACCCGAGCACTGCGTCACACTGACGTATGCGCTCGTCACCAATCAATCCGTGAACAAATATCTGGATTCGCATTCGGGGCCAATGAGTGTCGTGACGGCACTTATCATCACTTGCGAGTGGCAAGTTCCGTGGTGTCTTTATAGAAAGTACGCTGGAAGCTTACAGTCATCGCACCGATACCCAAGCATGTAACGTCCACGTGATTTCTCGTTTCGCTTTTGAGTTGAGGAGAAAAGCTTTAAGGAGGAAAAATTTGAAGAATCATTTCGTGAACCCTTTAACTAATCGACTAACCACCAATAGCGACTGGGTTGTTCTGTGCCGGACCTTGATGGTCACCTTGGAGGTGCCTAGACTGTTGACAACCGGGGAAGGGGCAGGGAGAGAATCATGAGTGAGCATGCCGGTTGCTGGCCATGGACTCGTTTATAAAGAGTTCTGTTCCTTGTGGTGGCCGACGGCGCGGCAGAAAGTTAATCTACTTGGAGGCGAAGTTGAAATAGATAAAAGCTCCACTGCTGCGTAAAGCGGTTACATCAAGACAGTACAGATATTGAAAACTGCAACTAACTGACGCGCACGGCTTACGTGGTCTAACAGTTCCTAGACGGACGCGTCAAGTGTCCACCCGTGCACGGTGTGGCCAGAGGCTAGCTTGCCACCGGAGAGCGAAGGCTGTCGCGCACGACAGAAGCAAACGCGGCTCAGCTCGGGGGGCCCGAGCACGGGTCCCGTTCAAACACGACGGTCCCCCGTCAGGCAAGGGGTTAAGACAGAACGCCGCAGCCTGTCCCGTCCAAATAAAGCCTAGTCGGAATCCCACTGGGTGCAGGCATCGACGCACTCTCAAGGAATCGGGCGAAAGAACACCACACTCTCAGGTGGTCAAAAGGTTAAGTCCCACGCTTCGGAGTTTAACCATTATGACACACGCTCTGCTTTGTTTAGGAGCCGGAGAAAACGGACTGGCTCCGACAATCTGGGCGAGAATCGCCAAAACGTGCCTCAGTGGAAAGCGGCTTCTCAGGCATAACGTTCCACACACCACACTCAATAGGGAGTTTTCGCAGACCGCGTTTCCCCCTCCGCTAAGCCCCCCGGAACGAACAAGCCGCTACTGCGCCTGAGTGCCCATGGCCTTGACTGTAGCCTGTTATCGTAGCGGGTTGCGGAGAGCGTTGCGGGACGGTGAAAACCATCTGCCCCACACAAGCGGAGATTTCACGATTCATATATTTCAGATTATCATGTGAACCATGTAATCGCTCCAAGTGACATGTTTAGAGAATGTCGAAGTGGATGGCCTTACCGTGAAAAGTCTTGATTCGTGTGATGTGATTATAGGGACCTTGTGCGGTGGCTGCTGAGCGCGTGCTGACGACGAGCTTCCGCGGTTCTTTTGCAATGTGCATTCCGTACCACCAGAAAGATATTAATGTGAGCTCGCTCCGAGCATGCGCTCTAAGCATCACCCTCGAATATGGCCTCCAGGGAATATCCTATACTTGCGATTTTGCAATCACCAGATCGCTCGTGCGGCAAAAAAAAAAAAAAGCGTGGTGAAAGCGCAGATGCGAAATCGCGAGCAAAACCTCAACATGGGATTCAGGCAAGAAAACAGCGCTGCCGTTTCCAATAACTATATGAGTCTAGTGTTTTGAACATAAAATAAAAATTTACAAAATGTTTTGTCTAGTTGAAAACAATTTTCACTCCAATTCTCATTTTTATTTCAGTTTGAGGAATGCAAAGAGTACAAAGACTCCGGCCCGCTTAAGCGTAGAACGCTTGAATGCAAGACCCGGCAGTGCATTTCATGGCTTCAATCATGTAGAAATAAAACGTCTAGATTAACCATGAACACCTGAATAATCTATAACCTTTAATACAAGTATGTGCATAAAGTGTATCATGTTAAATAAGCGATGTATATTTCACACAAACACTGTTACATTCCACGACATACAAAGAAGCATACATTGTAATGAAGTGCTCTGTACGTCATATATCTATGTGAAAAATCTTACCGAAGGTGTCAAAGATGTGACTCAAAATAAATTATTTATTCGTATTATTCTTTAATAACTTTAGGCTACAAATGCGTTAGCCCGCCATGGAATTTACTAATTGACAGTGAGGTATCATATCTTGTTCGCGTTTGTATGTTTTCGCATAAATAATTTGAAGAGCGTAACCTTATGTTTTTTTGTTTTTTTGTTTTTTGTGGCGGTGGTGGCCAAACTGGCAGGTAGACTCCTTCGTCGAACTTGAAGTAAATCTGGGGAGCGGTAGCGCCCGTCTACGGCCTTTGAGTGTTCTTGTCGTCATTGTCTTTTTTGCGCTCTCTCATACTTCTGAGATTATAAGCGAACTAGTCTAATCCAAAGATTTAATTCTTCATTTTTTTAAATTTTTTTTTTTTTGGTAGGCACATATCACAATTAAAGCATGGGTAATTGATATTGGTTCTGACGTTAAAACTTGACACTTGCATTCGAATTCGGCATATCTCGTAAAACGTCTCCAAAATGTTCATAATTCAAAGGTACCAGTACCGCAACCCTCTCCAGTCAACATCGATATGCAGCGTTGTATGAGACTCATTGCTATGAACGCCTATACTGTTTGCAGAGCTTTACTGTGACATTGCACATCAACTTTGCCATGAGCCTCCCTTGCCGCTCCCGAGCAACGGCCGTTCTTATGTCATTAAAACTTAAGTCATTATCACCTTCAACTTTATGGTCTTCACATGCGTGTTTAAAATCGTTCCGCTCGTTAGCTAGCCTTACCTTGATGAAATTTTTCCAATACCTGGCTTGTAGAAAAAAAATATCGCCTATGTTCGTTTCACAAGATTCGTCACTCTAATCCAACACATGGCCAAACGCTATTGTGAAAACAATCTTACATTTCACCAACCATCCACTAAAAGTTTCGATCCCACGTTGCCGCGAATCTACATTTAATGCCTCCTTATTGCCTTAAACCTCTCCTGATTAATATCGCCTTCCCGCAATTGTAGTTGCAATTACCAACACCGCTAATATTAAAAGTGCGATGACAGTTTTTTTTTTTTTTTTTTAAATTATGATTCCTATTTTTTTGTAGTTTTGACTTTTTATTGTTTTTATGTTTATGTTAGTGTTCCCTCCTCTCTGTAATGCCTTCGGGCCCTGAGAGAAAATATTTAAATGAACTGAAATACTGTACCAACACAGTGAACACGCCATGGCCCTTCTTGCATTTACAGGTAGCCTTTGTCTTCGAAATTTAACGATGAGCCTTCAGCACTCTCAATGGCTGATTTTAGGAAACCGAAGTTTTATAATTGTGCTTTTTAAGTTTTCAGCCTCGAGTTTTTCTTTCCGTTATCATTTCGCACGCACCAAAGAGAAACGACTGCTCGGCACTCTAGCCAAGAAACTCATCAGAAAGCAGTACAAAATGTTAGAACAGGACTGTCATGTCGCGTAATGTTTCACAAGACCTGTGCTGCTTTGGAAAAAAAAAATCAATAGAAAGCAAGGACTAGGACGCTCGACATCGCCCTTCATGCACTGATGCAATCTATGCTTCCCATTTTCATCATACGAACACACTCAAGTAAACTATTCAATGTCTGGAGGTCATCGCCTTCCGCTTGGATCCTTTGCCAGGTCACTTTGGTTGAAATCGAAACCGCTCTGAGCGAAAGTACAGTGCTCGCCAAACTTATCCGTTACGCGGGCTGTTTTATCGTGTGATTGAAGCCCTATCCCAACGGCAGCCTGAGAACTGCTTCATGACGTAGCGCTCAATAGAACAGCACGAGCAGGGAAGGCCGCTCGCTCAAGGTCTAAAATCGCTGCTGGACCGGCGACAACAGAGAAAGTTTGCCTGCGAGGCGAACTACGCTTTTCTGCCCACTCAGTAGAAGCATCAAATGCTTGCTGATTGGATTATTCAATCACTGGCTGTTTCGACAGTCACCCATGAATTTTCGTGCCAAAATGTGGCGACAAGTATAAATTGGGCGGTCAGAAAAGTTGCTACCGTATCCACGGTCGAGCCAGTGGCCTTCCCTGCTCAGGCTGTACCCTTGAGCGCTACGTCATGGAGACGTTCTTCGGCCGCCACCAAGATAGCGCTCCCATAAGATAAGACGGCGTTCGCGTGTTTCAGATGAGTTTAGTGACTACCGTACACTTGCCCACTCTTTTTATAAGCGCTGCAAATCACAATACAAAAAAAAAAGCGTACGATTTTTTTTTTAATTTTTAAAGAACTCCGTAATCTCTCGTCCACTGCCTTTGCAGCTTTTCCAACGGCTGAGGCAAGAGCGTCCGGAGGCGTTCCAGAAGATCGTGGTGCTCGAGGGTGACCTGACGCTACCGGACCTCGGCCTCAAGCCAAAAGACCGCCAACTACTCGTGGCCACGGTCAACGTTGTCGTGCATTCGGCCGCCACTGTGAAATTCGACGAGCCCATCAAGTGAGCACCTCCGCGTCATAGACGCTACCCGTCTTTCGCCCACTTATCGCCCGGGCAAAAAGTGTCGAGTCACTGGGCTCGGCATGCATGGGCGCCGCCTGATTTTCGGTAGAAGCTGCAGCGCACGGTGGAAAAAGAGAGGTTTCGGAACAAGGTCAGAAAAAGGGCCGAAATTCCACTCCGGTCATCACGCATCTGCCGGCGAGGCATGGTTGGGTTGGGGCAACAACCTTCGAATTTTCGTACGTCACTAAAAAAAAAAAACGCCACCGTAGGCCAGAGATTGGACCCGCCGTAGTATTGTCCACTCTCTGGCCTACGGTAGCCCTGTTTAGTAACGCAGGGAAACTCAGCACCTAGATTTTCTTATCTACGAGGTGTTGGTTGGGGCACGGCCCGCGGGCGCAGTTGTGCGTCTCGCGGCATTGAAAACGTGCGGCCAAAGAAGGAGGGTTCCTCGAGCTTCTTTCGTGCTGCGCCATCTCACGGCGTTTGTCAGAAAAGGGAGCGACTTTTCGACACACTTGCTCCGTGGCGAGGCGTCCCACACACCTTTCTCTTCTTTCATCCTGCCACAAAGTCTAATACACCTTCCCAGCGCTTATCACCTACGCGAAAAATGCCGAGTCACTGGACTGTGGACCCACGCGCAGCGTCTGCTATTCCATAGAAGGGAGACTGCGCCTTCTCCGAACGTGCTTCATAGCCCAACATATAAAGATGACAGGGTGTAGGAAGTCGATGGTTGGAAGAAAAGAGAGCGTGTCGTGGTGTTTGGTTTTGTTTTAAGGGCGAAAAAAGGCCGCGCGTCATTGTAATTTGGGTTTTATGTGACGCTTAGGGCGCGGGAATTCAGTTCGCATTCTAAAACGACGATCTCAAAATCTATCTTAGTGCCACTGTAGGCACTTGCGGTCATTTTCACCAAAGGGCGCACGCTTTATCTGTGTCTTGAAGGGCCACTATTCTTTTGTATACTAGGCACAGGATAACTGTTGAAATTAAAAGCACTGGTTCGTTGGCGTAAGCCGTCGCCCGTTTAAAAGAAGGTTGAGTTGTATGCTCCCATTCATTCATTCACCTATACGTGGATGATATTATGAAAAGAGTTTTTGCACTGCTAGCCCTGTGCCTGCTGCATGGGTGGGAACTTTAGCGCAGCCCCCCGCTTCACGATAGCTTTAAATCTACCGAAAACTGACCGATTTAGGGTTTTGTAATAACGCCAAGCAAGTTTGTAATTGAAACCGGATGTTTATTTTTACTAATAAAAACGTAGATTGTTTTTTTTTAATTTTTCGCCATTATTTACCGAATTCACGTGGGTCTTTTTTTTTTTTTTCGATCACTGACATCCGCTGTGACTGGCAGCCTGTGCCCAAAAAGAGTGTGCTGAGCGGCTCTATTGGCAGAAAGTTCCGAGTCTTCGCTGAAAAAAAAAAAGAAAACAGTAGCACACAAGCATAGCCATCTTTATTCTAGAAAGCCTGTCAACATTGGGGAAGGACCTGGCCGCTGTAAAGGGGAAAGAAAAAAGAGACCAGGCCGCGCGCAAGGAGTCCTCTGGCAGCGCCAAACAATGCAACAGCGGTAAAAGTCGGAAATACAAACACGCGCCTTTTTCTTTTTTTCTTTTTTTAGAAAGAAGAGAGTTTGGCATCGTCCTTCTTCTATTCCGCCTCTCTTCTGCTTCTCCACGCGCCGGTAGCGTCCTTTCTTTTTTCTCCGTTGTGGTTTGTCATTGTTTCGCAGAGGCCACCGCGTGTATTGTTGGCGTTGGCTGAAGGGTTAATTACCTGTTACCCCGGGAGTGATTCTGCGCCAGCAAAGGGGTAACCACTCGGCACTGCTCCTTGCCTTTGTCCGGCGGCCGCGCGCTCAATGACTCCGTCGTGGGCTTTCTAGAGTAAAGATGACACCAGTCATCAGGTAAGTGATACACTGTGTAAAGCGTGTAGATCTGAGAATGAAATGATTCAATACTTAATCATCTGCACTAAGTGGCTCTACCTTCATGTTTTATTGAAGGCATGTTTTATTTTCAGTTATTTTGGCATGCGCTCAACCGTGTGCCTTTTATTCCACCAAACATGTTGTAGTCCGTCGAAACCACTGTGTAATGCCTCCATATATCTTACAGCATCTAATGTCACGCTTTTAGAGTTGCCAGTGCAACCTCTTAGACCAAAATTAAAACTTCAATAACACGGCGAAAAAAAAATTACTTGAAATTTGCCTTACTACTTTATATGTATCAATCGAGGTGTTTAACCAGTGTTAAGGCAAATCAGAAAACTATCAATGTTTCGCCACTTTTAAGCGACGTTTGCGTGGCGATAAATAACCCAAAAACTCGAACCTGGCGCCGCAGTTTGTTTTTGCAAGCGATTTGCGAGATTAGCTTGTCGAGGATTCGGTGTGAAGTTTAGGTTGCGCTTTCTAATGGAGGCCGTACTTCCTTTTGGAATGTTCAGTGTGGGGGTTGCGTCTAAGAATATAAATTATCGAAAAAGAAGAGAGAGAGAAAGAGAGAGAGAGAGAGAGGTCTTATATTTTCACTAATTTATCGTAAGTGTGATTCGAAGGCTGACCCAGCACGCGTCTCAAATCTGTGCTCTGCGTGCGTTTGCTCAGTGCATGCTGAAAGCACTTTGTTTTCAAACATGGAGGCGTGACCCGTGTAGCTCTCTCACTGCGCATGCATCATTTGTCTCTCCTTGATTATTTGTTTCAGGAACGCTGTGAGGATGAACCTCGGCGGAACACGGAGGATAGTCGAGCTCTGTAACGAAATGGAGGACCTTAAGGTAACGTTGGGGCCACGGACTGTGAAGTAGCGCATGCATTGCGCGACACTCTTAGCGCGAAAGTGACAACCCCGCTTCTACTTCAAATACCTACGATTAGTGGACATCAAATCTTACTGCTTCAATGTGTGCACTAAATGAACACTCTCCATCACACTAGGAGATTGGAGACATTACTTCAATTATAAAAAAATAAACTCCGAAATACCTCGTTCGCTCTGCCAGCGTCGCACTGTGAACACTTTGCGAAACTGTAAGCGCGAGCCTGACATTGGTATTCTTCCGTATTTCACGTCGTGAAGGTATTGGCAAGCATAAACCATTACAGCCTGGACTAGGGCCCTGAAACCCCCTGCAACACCCTCGGACAAGTTTCTCTGGCATTCTCGAGGAGAAAAAGAGCGCGCGTGCAAAGCTTGGATCGGCGTTCCTGCACGCGCCCCTGCACCTTTGACCGCATAATCGCAAAAAGTTGTAGGACGACAGTGTATATTTTTATTGGCAGCCCTTCGATACCTAAATAACGTGAAAGAAAGAAACGGGCAACCACTTTTCGCGTTTAGATTGTCGCGCACTTTACGCAGCGCGACACTGTTGACGCAAACATGCGATCGACAGCTTTTTCCCGTCTTCCTTTTAAAACTGAACAGCTGCGTAAAATGTAACTAGTACGAAGGAAATTCAACGTTCGAAGAAGTATCTTATGTTCAAAAGTATTTCGACTTCAGTAACTTCGTAAAAGTAAAATTTAGAACAAAAAAAAAACGCAGATGTCGCGTTTACGCTGAAAGGTTCCCGCAGTTTACGTGAGGCACTTTTACTCCTAAAAGAGTAGCGTAGCGAGTAAAGTACGGTTTGCGTGAATACTGGTGTTCGTCGGAATAACGGTGCTCTTTGAGGACGTCAGTGTACCAGAAAGCTCGCAATGCTCTCTTCTGCAGGTCCTTGTGCACGTTTCGACGTGTTACTGCAACTGCGACAGGGGAGAAATCAAGGAGGAGATCTACGCGCCCGTCCACGACCCCGACCACATAATAAAAATAATCGAGTAAGTTCCTTTCGTCTCCCCGCTTCCGTTAGGCGGAGAGCAACTGCGGGTGAGGAGGAGCTGAAAGCGAGCTCTGACGTCAGAGCGCGCACGTATTTTCCCCTCTCCCGCAGTTTCTCTCCGTACGTTCACTGGGAGTCTTAGTCGCCCCGCATCCAGCGCTAGCTTTTCCCACTTTCGGTAAAGCTGCGGTGGGCGTCTCGTGAGCCTCCACCGTGCAGGCGCACACCCAACTGCGGGAGGAGGAGGGGCACACCCTCCCCTCAGTACCCTCCCCACCTCCTCCTTAAGAGCTGCTCTCTGATTCAGCGGTACAGGAAGTTGTAAACATCTTTCATTTTTACGATAAATTTAAAATATAAAAACACCTGTTTGGTGCAAGTTGCTTCGTAATTTATAAGATGGACCCGCACTATAACATAATCCATCTCAGTCACCGACATTAAAACAAAAAACAACAAGTGTGGTTTAAAGAAGGTTACAGTAGGGTAGATTGTTGGGCTAGTTGGATTTGGAACTTGGAATACATTTTAGCTCTGTGCGGAGAAACACAGCAATCCCTTCGTTGAATGTGCGGAGGAAGTAGTGTATGGGATCCCCTTAACATGCGGTAACAAGTATATAGGTCAGACTGGTAGATGTATTAATATTGATAGGCTAAGGGAACGCAAATTTAAAGTAGGAAGTTATCGGGACGGACATCTTTCTGATCGTTGTCAAAGCTGCGAGTGTGTGCCGTTGTTTTCCGAGAGCAAGATTCTGGCGAGGCACAAGGAAAAAACTGTGAGGGAGATAGTCCAGGCAGAGGAGATTAAGAAGAGTGAGGCAGCATGTGTCAGCGTGCCCTCAATTGATATACTTGACAAGGAACGTGCGTTCCTCAATGACGCGGCCTGGCATCGGGTTGGCTAGTGATGGAGCGAAATCAGAAACTCGGATGGTATAAAAGTGACGTTTTATGTAATAAAATCAGTTGTTAGTAGCGCACTGTGGTGTCTGACTCTAGTCTCTGTGCCCTTGTGTTTTGAGCGCTAAAATGTATTCAGAGAAGGTTACTTGCAAAAATAACAAAATCAGCTCCTCTCATAAAGCACTGCACTCTTTGAAATTTAGCAGAAAGAACGCTGCAAAGGAGTTGAGTGGAGAAAAGTACGGCCCTGTTGTCTAATCTCCCCACACTATGAGTGACTTAGAAACTTATTATACGGCAGTTTGAGATGCGTTCTCACAGCAAAACAAAGTTCATTTTGGGCGAACGCCTTTTGTCAACCATGGTACGCAATCTTTACCGTTCTGTAACTACAAGGTTCAACGGGGATGACATTTTTTTTTAACGGCAGTAATGATACATAAAGAGTTGAAGGTAAGGGGAGTAGCATAAAATGGCACAAAAAGGAGCACAAGCATAAATTACCATTCTTACACGAACTACACCCTCCTCACGTAGCACCGTTCGGGCACAAATGTGTTTCTAAAAGTATCTGTATCTAAATTTCGAAATACATTTTCGCCGAGTTTGCAGAAGTATCTCAAGGAAAAGACAAATGTATATCAGTATCTGTATTTTGGTCCTTAAAACACGTGTATCTCATTATTTGTATTTTTGAATACTTCTTGGAGTATCTCTGCCCAGTCCTTACACATGGCATATAAATGTGTTAGGAGTTCCTGGAATGAAAATACTGGCGCTAGTCAGGTTTTGAAGTTTCGCGGTTTCCTATAACACCCCTCTATACTCATCCGAATCAGCCAATCAGTGTTGAGCACGTGACCTAAAGGAAGAAGCATCTTTCTAAACAGGCACGAAACAAAAATATAGCTCCGCGTTATGCCCACTCTCTGTTGCGCATTGTACATTGCTGGGAGCGTTTGTGTGCGTATGCAAACGTGTGCATGTGTGCGTGTGCGTAGGGCGGGTGTGTATGGGCACAAAGGCTGTGTCGTTAGAACTGCGCTAAAAAAAAGCGAAGACATAAGGAAGAAATGTACGCACACGGGGCACTGACCGGAAACAAAATCTTTTATGTCCGAAAAGAACTCTCAAAGAAAAATAAAGGGCAGGGCCGTATTTTCATTTTATTGTCTGCCAACTAGGCCGACATAATTCCTCGCTGCAGATTGTAAAGGCGCGAATTTAATTATGCTAAAAATTATGCTGTCACCCTACGTGGCGTCGTCTCGTTTAGAGTTTTATAAAAAAAAATCATAAATTCTCCAGTTTCTCTGCCCATGCATCATAGAAAAAGATAAACGACACGGTGTTCGGTGCAAGCATGATGTCAGACCTCACTGCGGACAAGCCCGCAGAACGTTCGAAGCCCGCTCGCTTCGTACATACGTTTGCTTGGAGCACGTCCGTAGTTGTTGCATGACCGTTCTGAGAGGACGGTCGTACAAGAAGGAAACAGGCATCATCGGTGTCTACATACTGTCGTTTGTATGATCTATTAGCAGTGGGACAGCCGGTTAATAGTAGCTGCGAGCAACACCTCCCAGATAACAAAACCGTATAAACGTCTTTTTTTTTTTTTTACGTCAGTTTTTATATTTGAGCGAGGGGTGCAGGTTAGACACCAGGGCGGCGTCAGCGTTCAGCTGGGGTTTTGTGTTCGATCGGTGAGAACACCGGTCCCAACCGAACGTCGCAAGAACACTGGTTCCCAATCCGCACCCTCGCGCTAACCTCTAAAAAACGACATATAGAAAAATAACACAGCGCTATGCTTTTTTGACGCAGAATCTGTTTTATAAGCCAATTTCCATGGATGTCTGTCACAGCGGGCTGTAACGACTAGGAAAAGCGCTATGCCCACAGGGAACCCTATTAAAAAACTTCAGTCCCCCGGCAACTTCTTTTTTTATTTTTTTTATTTTTTTATTTGGCACTTTGATATTGTGAGCCATGTAATTTGTCGACTGAGCTACCCAGGGTCGGAGATTAGAGCGTGCAAAGTCGCGGGGCGCAAAAACGCGCGGTAGCGCACTCGCGGTCTTTCTTGTCCCGCTGCGCCATCTCACGGCGTGTATAAGAAAGGAGAGCGAATCTTTCGTTAGGCGCTGCCGTTCAAATGCTCTTCCCTTCATCCCCGGAAGGCGTATGCCTATAGATATTTAGACACTGAACTTTATATTTGTATATTTAGACACTAAACTTTCTTTCAATCAATATGTTAAAAATAGTCTCAACTCGTCTCGAAGAGTTTTTGCTGCTATCATGCGTATATCGAGTGATTTTTAAAAATCCCCTCTGCTTTTTTTTTTTTTTTTTTATGCTATTTTGCTATTTTGTACGGAGCCGCCTCGAGTTTTCCTCAGCTGTATGTAACAGCATTGGAGAGATTAACTCATCTAATATGAAAAAAATAGTCTTTTTTTTTATGATTGTTTATTTGCAATCCAAGGTGTTTTATGACTACGAGAAAATATTTGGCAGATTGGCTTACATTCTTTGGGTAATAGACGAAAGGTGCTTGATTTCATGTTCTTGCATAAGGTTCTTAATGGTCTTGTCGAGTGCACAGCTTTACTGAACTGTGTATGTTTACATGTGTCTCAAAGGTTTAGCCGTGTACGCTCATTGTTTTATCCTTCTGTTCTACACAAGACTGATTCCATTACCCGTCTGACTGGTTCTTAACAAATTTTAATCCAACGTGGATATATTTGACATTGACATTTTTGGATCCCAACAAACATTTAGAAAGGGCATTAACGTCTTTCTTTAAGTTTGAGATATGCCAACCTACAATCATGATATGTGATTTCTTATTTCTACGCAGTGCCCCACTAAAAAGGCATACAGCTATTTGTGGGCACCGAAGATAAATCAATAATACTCTTTTTATCTCGAATTGCAGCATTCCAGAAGGTCGAGACTAGAAATATCTTCACATTAGAGCGTTGTTCTTCTACTATTCTAAACACGTTTGTGTCACTGCTATTTCGAAAATTGTATTCTACTCATTCGAAGATGGTTTGTCGAACCTTTAAGCGTGCTTTTTTTTTATTTTATTTTCTGCCATTTCGCGTCACCATATGTCTTTCTCTGTCTCTTTTGCTCTCTCTCTCTCTCTCTCTCTTTCGCTCTCCTGCTCCCTCGCCTTCTTCAGTGTCACGTGGTAAATACTGCGGATGCAAAGGGTCGGGGAGAAAGAAAAGGGGGGGGGGGGGGGAATAGAGCAGATTCCCATGGCGCGGCCTTGTGGGATTTTTGCCAAAAGGACTCATCTGCCCGGTTCGGTTGCAGCTGGCTGGACACCGAGACGCTGGAAGCTTGTCAGACCAAGCTACTGGGCTCCATGCCCAACACGTACACCTTCACCAAGGGCCTGGCCGAGACGCTGGTGCAGCGAGAGTCCAAAGGGTACCCGGTGGCGATCGTCCGGCCGTCCATCGTCGTCTGCTCCTGGAAAGAGCCTTTCCCCGTGAGCGTGCCCCGACCCGCGGCCAGCTCTGGCCGGTCCTGTACGCGTTTTACTCGGAAAAGTCGTCCCTTCGACGTACTAGCGTCGCAATGGCAGTAGTATAACGCAGAATGTAGTCTGTTAGTGCGAAGAAACTATGCACACATGTGGGGACTGGGTGGCACAAATGGTGGCTGGGTGTCTTCTTCTGCGGTGGCAATGTAAACGCGACTTTCTCAAAGCCTGTTGGAGCGTGGGACGCAGTATACGAAGTGCGCGGAAAAGAACTATTAAAACGGGGCAGCGCCGAGCAGAGCTTTGGTGCCAGCTCGCGGAAATGGAGAACCAAAAGACTCATACTTCAACCCGTTGCTACTGTTGCCGCAAAGGGCGCACGAATAACAAAAAGGTTCCGTTTTTTTTTGTTGTTTTTTTTTTAATCGATTTTTTTGCGTTTATTGACTGTGGAAGCCCGGAGCAAGCTCGTTTCGTGGAACAGAACGCCGCTGTGTGTCCGAACACGTGATACGTTTTCCCCCGCCGGGAGTAACACGGATGCCTTCAAAGACTTTCCGGCTCGCGCTGGTGTCCAATCAGTGATAAGCTGAGCACTTCGTCAGCGTTTTGCAGGCAGTCGGTTGATCGACTTCCACCCCTGGTTGGGTGACGGAAATGGTTGGGTGCCAGCCATATGACACATAAAAAGATTACAATATACCCTTTTCAGATGTGTGCGCCATGGTCCGTTCGTCATTATTTGGGCGCACTCTGAGCTTCCTCTGAGCGTGTATTGGTCACGAAGTGTACGCCAGCGCTCAGCACAAACACGGCTAAATTCGTATCAAAAACGAACGCCGCGTCAGCTTTCGGCGAGGACTCGGATCCAACGGCACGCTTCTTGCCAGAAAAATGGCGACCGGCAATGGTGCCAGGTGAACTTGCGTGTAACATGTATCCAATTACAACACTTGAGGGTAAAGGCAATTGAACGGTAATTAATTTTTTTCTTTATTGATATATTCGAAAGCCTCGTGTCATAATCACTCGCAAATATTGAAGAATTTAGTATGAAAATGGAATAATTTTTGGAGGAGGAACTGGTTTCTTTATTATGGCACTTGCATTTAGAGGGGAGCATGAGAAACGTTTGATGGCGTTTATTGCTCTTTACAGTGCAACTGTTGCTTTGTACTTAACTTGCGGGCATTAGGAGCTTATAAAGTGTACACAGAGAAGCATTGTGGGTCGAAAAGTAGTGACTAAGTAGTCGTAAACCGGGGACCTTAACAAAGGGGGGGGGGGGGGGTAGTAGTAGTACTGTTTACAATTAATTTCGTAATTTTCACAACTTACGAATAACCTCGTAAATACTACCTAATAGAATATGAAGGTTATCACAAAATTACTTTGAAAAGTTATTCATTATCACAAATTGTATTGCATGTAGTGGGTATAGTAGAAGTTTGTTCATAGGGTTTTACTAGGGGAAGTAACAAAGACGAAAGCTAAGTTTAGGTTAACACATTTCGGTGATTCCGCCTTTACTACCCGGAAAGAGAGCCGCTAAGAAGTTACTCAGAATGACGACGCTTCAACCAGAGAGTTGCTTCAAATTATTGTTTCTGATGAACCGATCTCACCTAGTGTAGCGCTCATCCTTGAAGCCGCCATAACTTTAGTTCACAGAATGGTGCCTGGAACGCCTCTCTGAGTGGTACGCTTACAGCGCCCCAAAAAATGGTCCCTCGATTGCCGCCTGAGGACGTCATAAAAATGTCTCGCTGTCACCGTTAGCAATCCTGGCGACGTCACAGCAGCAGCGGCGGGTGATGTGCCAGACGCCCCTTCTGCTGCAGGTCACTCCCTGGTGTCACAGTGAACGGAAGCTTCGGCAGGCAGTCGTTGGGACGCTCGGACGACAGCTCCACCCGCGTTCGCTCCCGCTTTTCGCCGAAACTTCTATCCGACCAACCGCCAGGGTCGCAACATCCCACAGTGTGACACCCCGACCTCTGTGACGTCATTCGTTGCCACTCGCTGGGGCCCTAGTCCGCGCGGTGCGACCGAAGGATTGGAACATCACCGCTTGCTGCGATTGGCCAGCGGCGTGGAACTGGCCAATCGCAGCGGGCGGCGATGTCCCTCTGTATCGCTTGGTCCCGTCGTGTAGATTAGGGCCCCGGGACCACTTTCGCTGCACGGGCGGAATAGCACGCAAAAGTCGAAGCCATGTTCCGGGCCCTGTAGTTCATCGGAGGGCGGCGGCCGTGCACGGGCCTTCTTGTACTCTGCACGCGCGAGAGCTCCAGCAAGGTTGTCGCACGAGCAAAAGGACTATAAAGTTCCCTAGATGCATTGTGGCACCGGTCGCGTAGTCAAAACTATACTTCGTTTCAGCTTCCGTCCGAGCGCAGCCAAAGCTACCTGTGGCTGGAGCCAATCACACACCGGCAATAGGTCACGCGATCTCGCCTGCACTTTTGTATCCCTCCGCTGCGCCGAGGGGTCGTCCGCGCCGCCCGCGCTCGCCGAGTATTTCGTCTGCTACGGGTGTATCAACGGTATCGTCTGCTACAGGCTTAAAAAGTGCCCTTTCACGTTCTGAAATTTAGTCACAGGGGATGTCAGTACACAAGCTGGCCGCTGGCGTCTTGGTCCGAGCTTTGCACCTGTTCGGCGTTTCGGTGTAGTTTCCAGATGTAAGTAGACATTGCAAGGTGACCGATGACCTGGCCCTTGATGTTTCCTTGTCTGGATATACCAGGGCTCGAAGCCTTTCCACCCTCGGTGTTCAATGTGATCAGCAGGTAAAGGGGTGCCCTGAATTGTAGTGGCCCGGACGCTTTTCTTGTTTACAATGCATTCGCGGTACGACGCGGCCGGAGTCTCCTGCCGAATTTGAAAGCAGACATTCATCACGACCTCTCGCGCCTGACGCCCAAGTGTGCCTTTTCGAAAAAAAACGTTTTGAAACGACTCGGTGAGGAAAGCAGCGAAGCACATGACTCGGCCATTATGGGAACGAAATCACACAGAAAAAACGAGCGCTGCAGCCTGCGGATGTACGTGTTTTCACCAAACCACATGCATTTAATTATAATAATAAAAATAAACTTCAGACATTCAATTCTTTTAGTTGGACATCATTCTCGGCACTACACATCTGGAATATTGTGCAATGTTTACGCACAAAACAGTTATTTAAAAAAAAAAAGCACGTTTGCGGACTTTTTTGTGGTGCGTAGGAATGCTCTTCTCGAAGTTGAAAACCGTCCCTCAGCCTTTGGCTGCGCTTGGACGGAAGCTGTAACGAAGTATAGCTGGTGAGATAGGTCTCTTCGTGGAAAATTGCTCCAGCCCAGTTGGTTCCACCGCAATGACACACGTCAGTAGGCAAAGCACGCTTTAGAGGGTAAGACCGTTGTATGAAGTTTTATTCAAAATAGCAGGAAGCAGCTCTTCCATCCTCCTAAATGCCCAAACAGTTCGCGGCAAAGCAAAATATCTAATTGAAAGATCGGAAATTCGCCACGTTTAATCGTAAACATCCCCGATTGCGCAACGAATTGGGTGCGCCGAGAAGAGAATCCGTGGAGTGCCAATGCTCCTGGAATCGTTCCTTCACTGTCCGACGTTCAGCGATCCGTTTTTGGAGTCGGCAGTTACTCCCTAGGTATTCTTATAAAAAAAAAAAGTAGTATTCATTGTGCACTTTATTATAAAAATGTCCTAACGCAAACTTCGGTACACTGAGAAACAAGGTTCTGTTTATCGAAAGCTCTCGATTTACATTATTCAACGAGTTTCTCTTATGCGCCAAAGTTCTGCTTTATTCAACGGGCAAAGAGTGTCAATATAAGGCAGAAAACACCATTGTTTTGTTAAATATATTCAATACCATTCCTTACTAGCTAGGAATCGTCAAATCGAATTACTCTCGTGAAACGTAGCTTTTTTTGTGTGTGTGTGCTTTTTAATAGGTGATGTTTAAAGGAGCTGTGCAACGATATTCAATTGGAATGTTTTTCTCTCTACTCAAGCATACTGGCATACCTGGGACTCAAGGATACTCACACGCAACGCCACTGGCCAAGAAACTCCTTTGTTGCGGTGTAATTTCAAGGACAGAAGCGATCATTTTCATTCAATCTCTCCTTTGCAAAATTTGATGACGTAACTCGGGGATCGCAGTACACCCAAGTGACGATATTTGAATGCGGTTCACAGATTGGACCCGAGCACTGCGTGGGCACTCGACTTGGGCTCGTGACAATTGCTAGCTCGAGAAGCATTCGGGTTGTGACCCGTGTCCAATCGCTGCAACGACGACAACAGCCGAGCCATAACAATGTCTCAAACTCGGCGCGTGTCCTGCGCTTTGCAAACCCCAGCGCGTGGCTATGATCAACACTGGCGGCAAATAATCGGCTCCAGATCACGTGGCCGCTTGTTCTGGCTGTGAGTTGAGGGGGTGAACGCTGCTCGTCTTTCTTTAATTTTTTTCTGGGACTTCTATTGCGCGGGGTGAAAAACGAACGCGTGTTTCATAGGTCATTAACGTTAGGGATCCGTTTTAAGCGGTATTTGCGCAAAGTACAAAAATTGTTGCATCGCTCCTTTAATTTTGGTTAAGTGCTATAAGAAAGGGTTTGAAAAGTAATTTTTTTCTGTACGTAATTTAATTTCATCTTTACTGTTTTTTTTTTTTTTTTTGGCAACCGAGTGGGCCATGTCTGGCTCGTTGTGTTTTTTCACGCTTTAGATACTTGTTGATGTTTGTTTTATATTGCGGTGTATTCTGTAGTTCAGGGACCACGTACGATGCCGAAAGTGTCCGTGAGATATTCAAGCGTGGCTCTTTATTGTCGCAGACTATGATGCCATGTCTCTAAAACTAAGAAACATAAATAATACACGTACGCGTGACGAGGCACAGTGAGAGGAGTTCTGAAGCGCAACGAGCCTCCTCAACTAGCGTTGCACCGTGTTCTACACGGCGGCGTGTGCTTTCAGGACACCATGGATTGGATGCATTTTGTTTCTGTGCATTATTAAGACAAATAGAAAACACCAGATTATATAACCTACAAATATGCGGATGAATGGACCGTACTTCATCAAATGAATCAAAGTTGTGCGAGACAGCCGAAAGTTAAAATATTTGGCGGCGCCAGGATTTGAACTCTGGGCCTCTCGATGTCCGGTCGGGTGTGCGAACCGCAGAACCACTCCACCTTGACTCTCTGGCGTTTCCCAACCGTCTTAGTAACGCACAAGGACGAAATGTATCCAATCAGAGTCGTGCGCGTTCTTACAACCGATTATCAGAATTGCCACTCCATTGCATTTTGCAGGGTTGGGTGGACAACTTCAATGGACCCACGGGTTTAATTATTGCGGTAAGTTTAAGACATCTTTCTTGTCTTGCGGGCTATGTTCTTGCATTTCTTTATCCATATATATATAAACATTTACATACAGACGTCTGCCTTCATCAGTTTGATATTTTGTAGACTCAAAAACATACACCTCAAGCAACACTCACTCAATCATTTATTTATTGGTTCATTCATTCATTCATGTTTGTGCTCATAAACTGCGGATCCTTTGGTAATGATGCACAAATGGTGCGATTACAAATTACTCGATGACAACTTAAATGCTGAAAAATTCGAGTTCACAAAGTCACCATCCGCTGCATCGAGGGTGTTAACAAGTGCTGTTTGCGGGTCGTGGGGGTTAATTGAAATGATTTCAATAAGGAATAAAGAAAGAGGAACTCGCAAAACTCGCCTCGGAGTGCGGACGCGAATAGACGACGTGATCTGCACTGATGTTTTACGTGGCTGAAATGCGCGTTTAAAATCAGGATGAAGGTACCACGGCGATAATGTCAATGCAGGCGAGCCGTCCAACGGTGATCTTAAACAGCCATCTCTTATTTAGGGCGAACACAACTCGTGTCTAACGTAAAACTCGTGTCTAACAAGTACATAACGAACACGGATTTTTTTTTTTGTCATTTTTGTTAAAAGACGTGAAATAATGATTTAGTCATTATTGCACTTCCACCGAGGTCGACGGGCATTCTAAGAAAATCGTGACTTGCTAAAACTATGCGTCGTTTCCCTTCAAGTCCTACCGCAGCGCTGCTGACGCAACAATCCTCGGGAGTCAGTCAATAAGCACCAAAAGTGCATCGTCACGTCGTCTTTCTGCCTTTCCTATCACCGGCTAAATCAATCGCGCCGGTGATAGTAATCGAACAAAGACTACGAGTCCGTGCACTTTTTGGTGGCCGTTTGATTTTCCCACTTGGATGGTAGCGCGGGCTGCAGTAGGCCTCAAGGTGAAACAAAGGATAGTAGGGGGTCCTGTATGAGGTTCTTCCAAAAAAAGAATTCCAAGAGCGCGCGTGCATGGTTTTGATAGGCGCTGAAGATACGCGAGAGCAGAGATTCCCAAAATTGTAAATATGACGTCACGCTACGGGAAAAAGGGGCTTCGGTGGTAATTTGAAAATCATTTTCTAAAGCTTCTGTGCACCAAACTGAAAAAAAAAAAAAAAAAAAATTTTTCAGCCTTTTTATTTTGGTGAAGAAGGAAGACCAGCGAAGCTGTACTATGGTGCGAATGAAGTAACGGCCAGCCGCAAGTCTCCAAGCCAGAGTGGAAAGGCTGGAGCGGTTGCCGTCATCTATGAGCGACGGCGGCAGCCAGACAACCGGCAAGCCGGTTGTTTGGTTGCCGCCGTTTTGTAAGTAGCGGTAGCTGTCCAGAGTTTAGACTACTCATTTGTTTGCTGACAAACACGATACTGGGGAGACTAGCCCTTCACAGCTCCGCCGTAAAATAATCTCGATATTCGCGATCCTCTGAGCCAATCGAAAACGACTTAAGTGTTCTTGTTCTTTTTTTTTCCCTCAAACACGGAACCGTTTTAGTTTCCCTCGAGGGTGTCCCCTTCCCTTTTTTCTGTCAGTAACAGACACATTTCAAAAGTCCTCGCCAACGCCTGTCTGCAATTGCTCGATCGCGTGCCCTAAGCCCGTAGTGGACACGAGTGTGACGTCAGCGTTCGGCGTGGACTCGGATCCAATTACGCGCCCGCCTCGTGTCCGAGCAACGGCAGCTGCCAGTGTTGCTCGATAGACTCTCGAGAAAGGGTATATTGTTGCGAGGTTCTCTTCGTGCGCGCTTTTAAAGCCTTCAATAGGTTCACATGTCGCTGTGTGCCAAGGTGGCGACGGGCCTGCTGAAAAGCGTCTACACCGACCCCGACATGGAGACGGACTTTGTGCCGGTCGACGTGGTTGTCAACTGCATCCTCGCAGCGGCGTGGAACGTGGCCACGACACGGTGGGTCCCTGTTCGCCACGCTCTTTATACCAAATGAAACCGCACTCCGTCTGCGAGTGCACCTGAGGCTAAGAGCCGTTTTAGATGCGGAGCATCTCTTGCTCGGGTCTATGTCCCGCGGCGTCGTAGTCCGCACTCACACTACGCATACGCAACTCTCCTCCTTCCCTCTCTCCAACAGCTGCGCGTTACTCTCTCCGCTCTCTCTCTCTCTCTACCAGCTGCGTGCACTTCGCGTGCGTTCGCTTCTACTCACACCGCGCGCGCGTGCGCAACTCTCCTTTTCTAGTCTCCTCTACCTCAAGTGTGAATATAAGCAGCGGTAGCGCGCTGCGCGCGTTCAACGTTCACGCGATCTGTGGTAACCAACGCAAGTTAACAACGTAATAACACGCAAGTTAACAACGTTACTAACAACGTTACTAACAACGTTACTAACAACGTTACTGACAACGTTACTGACAACGTTACTGACAACGTTACTGACAACGTTACTGACAACGTTACTGACAACGTTACTGACAACGTTACTGACAACGTTACTGACACCGTTAATAACGATCCGCGATGCTCCGCATCACCCCATGGTTCCCCTCGTGAAGATGGTGTAATTTTTAGCCAAATCGTCGTCGTCTTTTGCTCTTGGTGTCACCGACCATACCAACTATGGGCGGGACAGGAAAAACGCCGAATCACGGTGTTTTTCCGGGATTGGTTTAGCGGGGAATTGGAAACGCACGAAGATGGCAAGAGCAGTGACGATGTTCTTTTGGTGCCGCTGTATTGCCTCCATCGCGTTTCAGCGTTGGCTGCGCTTGGACTTGGTGTGAAACGGAACCCAGTATACCGTAAAATCCGAATTAACGTCCACCCATAACGAAGAGATAAAAAGGCAAAAAAAAAAAAATACTTTGCAGTTTTACTTAGATCTTTTAATGAAACCGTCATACGCAGAATTTCCGTTTTATAACAAACGAAGCCGACGCTCGAGTTCGACATTTGTCTTTCTGTCATGGCCGCGTGCGTGTCTCGCAACATTACTAGATTACCTTAGCTGTGGAACTCCTGCGGAAGGGAATACCCCCCTTACTCGCTTCAGTCCGCCTCCTGTCGTTAGTAGCGCCATCTAGATTTTCGTTCACGAACAGTGTGTTGCATAGAGTACGGTGGAACGTCATCTAGACGCTACGCTTCGAAACGTACGTACCCCATAGAATACATTGCAGTTACCAAAGCAGCCGCCCGGCGCGTCGGACGTCGGGAGGCGAGTCGTGGAGAGTGAAGCTCACCACGACTCGCTCTCGACGTCCCCCGACGTACTGCTCGTGCATGCAGCGTCTATGAGTAGTTCTTTAACTGTCTTGTTGAAACGTCGCCTCGTAGTTCTTTCTTTTTCTTGCGTCAAAACCAAGAATACAGGGACTTGGTTGATCGGAGCATCGTGTCGGTTTACTCGTGACTAGAGTTCCGTGTTCTGGAGTTTCTTTCTTCTTTGAATGCGAGGGTGTTTTATCGTTTTTGATTCGATGTTTTTTGGAGCCAAATAATGGTGCCAAACAAAAGACAGGGGTAATAGCTAGGATTCCTTGTTTTTTGGAGTTTATTTCTCTTGAAATTGGGAGGGTGTTTGACGGAGTTAAATTTTTGCCGAAAATTTTGAGTTTATCGCAGTATATTTTTGCTAGATTTCGAATCCTCCGAAATAGAAACTTTTGCTTTGTTCCCAAATTTTCTAGATTGAAAATAAGAATATATATTAACCGGACATAACCTTGACCTAAATGAATATGAACTCACCGGCACCAGATGACATCGGCGCCCTTGTCAGTGGTAATAACTGTCCACTACAAAACTTAAAAAGGCACCTTAAAATCAGTGAATTCCCTGACGTAGTCCCTGGAGGACCCTTTTTCTTCCCATGATATATTGCAGCTCCTTGCGGCTTTGCGGAATGGAGTTATGAGATGGAAAAATAATTTCTTGATCTCGATGGATAAACATCACGAAAATAGAAGGCGCAAAAGACAAGGACAAGTGAAAGGCAACACAGGACAAGCGCTTACTCTCGACTGACGTTTTCACTCGATCCCTCAATCAATCAGTCAATCAATCCGTGTTTGATTGTGAATCAAACAGTTGGTAAGGAGGAGGGTTACACTTGCACGAAATAAAAGACAATCGAACCAAAATATATTCACACTACACAGTAAGCCTCAGTATTACACTTAAAAAAAAAAATAAAAAGAAAACATGGAAGGGTAGTGAAAAGGTCCACGTCAGGGCTAAAGCACTTGTCATACATGGTCTGCATCCGTGTGAACGGATGAATAGTTTCTAAGTTAGAAGGGTAAAAAAAAAAACCATAAACCCCGATTTTTTTTGCTGGGGAAAATGAAGTGAGATTCTAATCTATAACTGGGGAATCAATAGCAGCGTTGAGCAGTTTATGTAGGAAACATGTAGCGAACTAGTCATTCATGCGAAAGAGGCGAAAGACAGAGGGTATCCAAAAGACGCACGGAATCATAAAAAAAACTCTGTCCAATGTGGCGATAATAGTCTATTCTTACAAATCGTCGCTGTAAGCACCCCAACCTTAGTATTTTATTGTTTCCTTGAAATTTCGTACTGCAAAAAAAAGTTCAGTCTTGATAAAACTAACAACCGAATTAGGTGCAGTATGCAGGTGTAACTGCGGAAATTACGGGTAACGCATGCAATTACGCCTAGGATGCATACGCAATCATAATTTTCGAAACATGGCAATTAAAATTGATGCACGAGTCAATCAAAACACTAAGTTTTGAGTCATGCAATTTATAGACATGAACAATAACATCTGCCTTACGGGAGAAAGATGCAACCTTAGTTTTGGTGGGCTTTAAAAAGAGAGAGTTTGTGCAGGACCACACGCGAATCGCATCAACATCGTTTTGTAACAGCTCACAGTCAGCAGGCGTGCAGATACTACGATAAATTTTCACGTCGTCAGCGAACTGTAGCATCTCTGAGTTACTTACACAAGTTGCGAGGTCATTTTTAAAAATATTTAAAAGCAAAAGTCCAATGCTCGACCCTTGTGGTACTCCGGAATTGATCACATAAGGATATCACTTGCAGCCTAAGTCGGACACTATATTTGAGCGATCAGGTAGCTGCCAAACCGGTCGCAAAGACCCGAAGGAAGACCCATATTAAACAGCTTTTTCAACAATAGATTGTTATCTACGAGGCCAAACGCCTGAAAACAGTAAAAATAAATAACATCAACCTGGCCACGGGTCTCAACTAAAGGCTTTGCGAACTCCAAAAGAGTTACAAGGTTAGGCTCAACAGAATGTCCCCGACAAAAACCGTGCTGATTTGGACTGAGCATTGGTCCAAAATGAAAACTCGGATGCTTAAAAATAACTTTTTCAAGAACTTTGGAAAAAAAAACAGAAAGCAGCGCAATTGGTCTCTAATTATCGAAACACAGAGCTTCCAGATTTGTGCACTGGCACAACGTACCACAGCATTTTCCCAAGCCGTTGGAAATCTTTAAGGACATGTTAAAAAACGAAAGACGTTTACAATTCTCTGTAATGCCGAATTAGAGCGCAGCTCTTGAGGAGGTGGAGGGGAGAGTACGGAGCGGAGGGTATGCCCCTCGTCTCCCTCCGTACCCTCCCCCTTCCCCTCTAAATTTAGCCGAAATTTTTCGCTAAATTTCTCGCTAAGTCTAGCGGAAAAATTTCCCCGCTACATTGAGGGGAAATATTTCCCCGCTAGGTTTAGCGAGAAATTTTCCCCGCTACATTTGGGGGAAATTTTCACGGCTAAGTTTATAGGGGAAATTTTTCCACTATATTTAGCGGGAAACGTTCTCATAATGCAACGCGCGGTTAAGCTCGCTTGCGTTATTCCCCATAATGCAACGCGCGCGGTTACCCGAACGCCGATGTCGGCGGCGACTCCGCTGAAGCCGGAAACGGGTGCCTAAGAGCAGGGGTCAAAAATGCACTGCAGCACAGGAACCAAAATAACAGAACACCCTTTAACAATGAAGGCAGGGATCTCGTGTTTCCCACATGACTTTTTCGGGGGAAGTTCTTTTATGGCCGAAGCCATATCATCAGTCGTCAGCACGAATTGATATAAGAAGATTATCAGGACAAGGAGTTGTGTTGTTAAAATGGGGAACATTGGGGTTTACTATATATAAGAAGTGTTTAGCAGATAGATTGCGGACACTTAAAGAGTCAGACACGTGACCGTTGAGTGTCTTCAGAAATATAGCCTCAATTCCACTGTATGGCCTACTGTACCTAACCTATTCCCAATGTCGGTCAGGACAACGCCTAAGGTATGACTCAAGGGAGTCGTGCAATAGGCGTTTGTTCCTTTTAATCAATCGCTTCACCATAGAGCGACGCTCCTCGAATAAAGAGTGTCATTTGTCCAAGCCAGACTTGGACAAATGGCACTTTTTAATTCGGAAAAGGGCAAAGACGACGGTATCAAAAACCCAAATGTTAAAAGCAAGCATTTTTTTTTTTTTTTAAGAAAGGAGTCAAAGGATCTGCAAGACTGAGAATTCAAGAAAGATAAAAGGAAGTGAGTAAAAATAAAAGGAAAATGTGTACATGATAAAGTAAGTCTTAGAAATAAAAAGAAAGGTAACGCAAATTTAAGAAACGCTAAGAAAAATGTTGCTTGTACTCTAATTCTTTTGATGACAAAGTAATGGATGGAGCACCGACACCGGCGTTTCTTTCGTTCGCAACATATTCAGTCCCAAAAATTTCGTGAGTTGGTTTGTATGGAGCTGAAAACACGACCCACACATTGTATTTGGAGGCAATTTTCTCGAAGTTGTGAGAGATACGATGGGGAATATAAGGGACGACCGCCGGGCGGCTTCTTTTTCTCTACTCCTCTTGCTTGTTTTGTTTGGTTGGATCATACATTCAGCAACGTCAGACAGGATGGAAGTCGGGTAGCCTGACGCCGTGAGCCGCGACGAATGGAAAAAATACTTTTTTTTCAAAAGTCCTGTATTTATTCAGCTACATACTAGGTACAATGCCTCAGCTAGATACTAGATAATATGCCTCTTTTGAGGCATTGTATCTAGTTGTTTCAGCGCTGCCCTGAAAAGGTCTTGTATTCATTCATCAAGGGAGAGCTTTGACGCGCAAGTATCACGGCTCAAGGCGTCAGGCTGCACAACTTCCATCCTGTCTGACGTTGCTGAATGTATGATCAAACCAAACACAACAAGCAAGAGAACTAGAGAAAAACGAAGCCGCCCGGCGATCGTCTCTTACATTAATCGCATTTCCAATTACTTCATGAGAATTGCCTTCAAATGCGATGTGCGGGTCGTGTTTTCAGCCCCAGACAAGCTAAAAAAGCTCTGTTTCAGAGTCAACACCCAGCGCGAAAAGCCTGAAGAATGCGGCGTTAGACACTGCCACAAATACGTCAACTGTTGCACAAGAGTATATGTGACAGTCTGGAAGATGCATCAACGTAAGACTCGGAGAACACGCGCAATCACTCAAATCCTCACCGCCGGGGCATCTCGATATACATGTGAGGGACTGTGGATACGCCCCGCTGCTGTTCAGCTCAAGGATTTTGAGACGGAGTCCCGATAAGCGAACTCGAGAGATTTTTGAGGCTGAAGACATTGCACTCTCAAGAAAAAAGGGTGTCAAAGGGTGTATTATTACACCCTTTGTCCCATATAATACACCCCCAAACTTCATTTCGACGTACAGCGCCCTACAGTCGAACAGACGGCCCGAAATTGTACGAGGGGCTTGATAGCCGTTTGGTACAACTTATAAAAATAGCTAATGTACGTTTTACTGAACACGAAAAAAAATAATTCGGGTTTTCTTTGCCCTACTGTAAAAACTCGGTGTTTTCTTTATGTGGTCTTTGATACGTACTTTAGCTATTTAAAATGTTGTACCACACGGCTATCAAGCCCCTCGTAAGGTTTCGGGCCCAATGTTCGACTGTAGGGCACTGTACGTCGAATTGAAATTTTGGGGTGTATTATATGGGACAAAGGGTGTAAAAATACACCATTTGACACCCTTTTTTCTTGAGAGTGTGCAAACAAAGGAGACGCCTGCATCAGTGCTCCGTCTGTGACTTTGTCATCAAAAGCATTAGAGTACATGCACCATTTTTTCTTAATTTTTTTGTACATTTGCGTTACCTTTGTCTATCTCCTTTTTATGTATCACTGTTACTTTATAATGTTCACATTTTCCTTTTATTTTTACTCATTTTCTTTCTTTTATCTTTCGTTAGGTTTCTTTTTTATCCTTTTGCTTTTTTCATAAAAAAAAAAAATTTGTTTGCTTTTAACAATTGGGTTATGGGGTACCTTCGTCTTTGGTTTTCTCCGAATTAAAACGTCAGTTGAAACTAAGCGCTTGTCCTGAGTAGTCTTCCACTTGTCCTTGTCTTTCGCGCTTTCTATTTCCGTGGTGACATAGAAGCCTCAGCTGCCTCCCTCCCTCCTATAAAATACCAGTGTTGACAGCCTTCACGGTTATCAAAACATAACTCCACCCAACTCAAATAAGTTCAATCTGAAAGCCAAAACAGTGACCCAGAATTGCAATGTCCCGTTGTCCCAAAAGAACCTTGACGGGAGAGATGGTGAACCTGCTTTTGTTAATATTACGGGACATCGAAAGAATCTGGGAGGTCTTTCCCGAGGACCGATGACCCTGTGCTCTGACGAAACTTAGTTATGGAATTCAGATTTTTTTGGCAATGTAATTAACTTTGGAGTTCTTTTTTTTTTATAAATCCGAATTAAAAAAAAAACATTTGACCGGTGAATGTTTTTTTATTATTATTAAATGTATCCGAAAGCACAGCATCATTCATCGGGGCTTCTGGTGAAATAAAATGAGATAAGAACATAGGATTCCCCAACTTCGAGTCAACGTACGCGGGCCCCGAATACTTGGGAAATGTCCTCGAATCGATAAGGGAAGGAAACGGGAAAGGGTGTGTGGTTCCAAAAAGGAAGCAACCTCGCAGACAGTTTCGAGTGGGCTATGTCCTGGACAATTTAATACATATCTGTCGCCAAGAATTTTTGTTCCGTAGACCTTACGAGGGTGGAAAGTTGGGCAAGTTGTTGATTCATAATGATTAAAGAGAGCGTCAGGACAACGGACACAGAAGGAGACACAGACACCGTAAACATTGTTTTAATACGATAGCATTTTTAGCTGCCCCCCCCCCCCCCCGGAATTTCTTGGACTTTCTGGCCTCCTAATCCGCAGTAGGTATGCACCGTAAACCATTTCAGCCTACATTCTCACTCTCCATCACATTCGCGCCCTCTTCGAATTACCTGACGACCTTGACGTCTTCCTCGACGTGGTTCTAAAGGCCGTTCTCGAGGATGTCCTAGACTTCGTCCTAGACGTCGGCCATGAAATCGTCCTGGAGATCGCCCTAGAGGTCGTCCTTAACGTCGTCTGACATCATCCTCTAGGACGTCATCCTGGACATCTCCCTTGGGGTTGTCCCGGAAGTCGCCCTTAAAATCGCCCTATAGGTCATTCTAGACATCGTCCTTGAGGTCGTCCTGTACGTCGTCCTAAACGTCGTCTTTGATGTCGTCCTGGATGTCGTTTTTGATGTCGTCCTAGATGTCGTCTTTAATGTAGTTTTCGTCGTCGTCTCGAACGTCGTCCTTCTGGTTGTCTTAGCCGAATGCTATCGCAATTGATAGACAACCAACAATAGTGGTTTCTGCAGCAATTTATTTCTCTTTAATATTGAAACATCTCCATTTCTGGATTTTTCGGTATTCCCGATTTCCACGAAACCGGCTTCGGGTGTTAGCTTTCGGGTATTTTCGGTATTTATTAAAAATACAGAACGCTATTCATAACCTCTCGTCAACACGCGACGCGCGTGAGAGCACTCGCAGAAGGTTCGAGGTACCGGCGGTTGGTAGCTGGCCAAAATGGACCAACTCTTCTCTAGTTACTGACAAGGTAAGAACGGCATGAAGCAGTCTCGGTTGTTAAGCCTCCAGCGCAAACTTCCTACGTTCGAGGACTCTGCGGCCTCTCGCGAGCCTCAGGCGTGGACGTACAGCTTAATTGCCGCGAACGGCAACGAACATGTGCTGGAGGTCAGGCGTTCGAAAGAGACACCCCGACGTTCTCAGCTTGTCAGTGACCTTTCCGAGCTTCATGCGAGTGGCCTAAGGGGGAAAGTTGTATCGCGAATAGCTCTCCCATTGTGTTGCTACGGGAAACATTGCTGGTTTAGCAATAGTCGTGCAAACCACTAGCGCTATACAAAATGTTCAGTGGAGTTAGTGTTAGAGTAAGAGTTAGTGGAGTTAATGGTGCTAATTCCCCTAAATCGCGGTTACGGTTTTTGTGGCTACACTTAATCTGAAAGCCTAGCCTAAAAACGTTTCAGGTCAATCTGCAATTCTGCATTATTGTCAAGTGGGCGATCATTCGGGAGAGGCCCATTTGTTCGTGATTTGACGGTAAAAAATTAGATTTAATCGTATGTTCGCAACAGCAGTGCCGTTGTCACCTAAACCACCTGCTTCTCCTCGCCCCAGGCCCTCCGACGTGCAGGTGTACCAGTGCGCGAGCAGCGGGCGGTCTCCGCGGCTGCGCTGGCGGGATATGAAGGCCATCCAGGAGTCTTTGATGGGCGAGCTGCGCTTCACGAGCGCCATCCGGTACCCCGACGTCCAGCTGAGGCGCAACCTGACCGCTCACAGGGCCGCCATGTTCTTCCAGCACTACGTGCCGGCCTGCCTCGGCGACGCACTTCTCGCCTGCTTGGGCAAGAAGCAGTGGTAGGCAACCGCTCTGCATCCAACACCCCTTCCCCTCCTTTCACGGTTTGACGGAGACAGCCGCTATTGGTGAGGTTTCGCAATTAACAATGCGCAAAACCGAAGCGCTCTCAGCGGTTCAGGGACAGTTCGGGACTGTCAACGATGGTGTAAGTTTTTGTTTCCGCCGTTGTAGCACAGTCAGCCGCGGACGCTGCCGACCGCTACCTCGCACCCCCTCGCAACACCCCTAGCTTCTTTGCTGTGACAAGTTTTTCTTTTCCTTTGACTGTCTACCGTCTAATAAAGGCACGAGAATAACTGTAAATATGTAGATGAAATCATGAAGATTAACGGCGAGGAATCCCGTGATGAGGTGCGAGGTGCAAGTCCACAAGGTCAGCGGTTGGCCGTTGTGCGACAGAGGAAACCAAAACGCAATTCTTCGTTGGCACTTGTTTCCCAGAATGTTCTTAAATCGCAAGGGTCGCTCCGGCTTTCCACATTGTACATTGACCCCGGGATGTGGCTGTGTGCAGGTCGTGGCCTGCCAGATTTAGAGGGAAACCAGGGTCACGTGACGTTCACAAATGCTTGATCTCCTACGGGACCTTCGGAGGCCAGCGCAGGACAGGCTCCTCCCAAAAAGTCCTCTACTTTTTCCGCCTTAGCTGAATGAACATTCGAGAGGAGGCGGGTGGAGAGGAAAAAATCACAAATCATGGCGAGCACAGAGCTCTGTGGGAGGGGCTTGTCCTTCCCTCCTTTAGCTGCAAACGATTAGGGTAGCTGCCATTGGCTGCAGGGCTGCTTGTGCTGCGTGGGTCCAGGTGTCCCCGTGACAAAATTGTCACACGCTCGCTGATGTTCCCCGCCTCCGATCCCGTTTCACGGTCTCTTTTATTTCCCGTCAGTCTGGATGTGTTATATATCGATGTTCTAGGCTTCAGCTACTTCGGAAAAAAATGCGATCTGCGCGGGGTGAGTAAGGCTTCTCTCAAAAGCACGCGTTGCACGGCTTTCCTGCAGTTGAAACTTCAGTTTCAACAACTAAATATATTTGTTTCTCCCTCACATGTTCTCTCCTGAATAACATCTGAACTAATAACTCGCATTGCAAGTCACAATAATTGTTTCTTGTGAAGCAGACTTTTTCATTTTAGCCTTAGAGGCTGAGTGGCCCTACTCGCAACACTGAAATCATGACGTCAGATGTAATATGGGGGCATTATAACTTGTTCTCGACAGGTTACGAGAAGTATAATTGTGTAAAATAAATACTGATTAAGCTCACGCCAGTGGAAAAAAAAAAAAAAAGAAACTTGCTTCGAAAAATTTTGTCTATTTATCGCCCGACTTGCAAGATACACATGTGACGTGACCCGACGTGAGAGTGCGGGAAATTTTAGTTGTTTGTTTTAGCACATTCGCTGTTTTCTCAATAAACAAAGCCACGAAAACACGAAACCTTAGCTACGAGTTGGCACTAGTTTCATGGCTATCTGTGTCTCGTGGTCCTTTTTTGAAGGTTAGTCAAGACCTACTACAAATTAGAGACGCTTTTGGAAGCTCTCGGCTACTTCACCACGCACCAGTGGAAGTTCGAGACGCAGGGCATGATGTCCATGTACAACCGGCTCTCCGATGAAGACAAGAAGGTACCTATTTTGTTTCACAATTTTACCTCGTTAGGGCAGCTAATAACAGCGTGTCCCAAAAGAAAGAAAAAAAGTGTTACAAAGTTTCTGTGACGCAAAAATAAACTGTACATCGTCGGACACCCCGTTTCTGCCCAAACGTCGCGCTGGCGGTTCGGATCAGATGCCAGTTTCGTAACAAACCGTTATGTTAATCAAAAATTATAAGGGACTTTCTGAAACTATCAATAAAAAAATGGGCCCGTTCCCGATAGTTGTGCGGATTGCGCTCATCGCACCTTTTGCTTTCCGGTTTTTGTCAGCATGATCAAGCTTGTGTACACTTTTCCTCTTGAAGGGGCACGCCAGTGCTCTTTGTAGCTTGTTTTTGGTGGCATATTGTTTGTTGGGCATTAATCAATAACGATGACTAGTTCTCGCTGGAAAGACGTCCTAAGAAACTCGCAGCAATAGAAATACACTGGCACGTTTTCACTTGGGTCCCCACCACCTCCATTAAGTTCGACCAATTAATATAGTTTTTAATATTCCACGGTCGCCGCGGCCAAACTCGCTCTTTCTATTTTTTTAGGCGAGCCGGTCAAGGACGCAGCGCAATCTGTCAATACGTGCGTCAAAGGCTCTCCGCAACTCCACTCGGTCGACTGCCTCGCCGTCCGCCGTTGACCGTGGCTAGTTTTTCGGCCCCATTTTTTTATATATATATATATATATATAGAAAGGGAGCTGGCGCCTTGCAATTTTACAGGGTAAAACCCACCCGTGAAATACATCTTTGACGAAAGGCTTGCTCCGTGCAGGTGCCGATTTTTACGGGCAATTTTAGAACAACCCATGTCATTTCAGGCACCCCATAGATTACTTGCCGGGAATGCCACCCGTCGAGTGCTCGCCGGAAGAAGCCGTGCGCTCCCGCATTATGAACAAGTGTGATTAACTCTGTACTCTACGGTATTTATTTGTCAAATTCTTAGCTTTTGTCCGACTAAGCTCAGTATCGGTGCGTCCTTTTCTCTCTGTTTGAGAGGAAAAGGCAGGAAAAAAGCAGCATGTAGCCACTTGAGAAGGCCGCGCTTCTCCTTTAGGCTTTCTTTTGTTCTTTCTTCTTGGGACGATTGCGAACTAGGTGTTCCTGCTGCACTATCGATTGTTAACCATATCACTTTTCACTTGCTTTTGTTCATAATCAATTTGTGACATTGTATCGTTGAATTTTCAGTTTCAGAATCACATTTTCCGTATTAACGGTTTATTTAAACAGGTACGAACTCTAAAACGATATGACCGAATCAATCCATGTCTTGTTTTTGTTTGTTTTTTTCGTCCGAGATTATTTTCCTTGTTGCGAGTCGTCCAATGATGAGCGGGTGATTGGCAAACGTTTTTTGCGTTTCTCGGATTGTTCGGCATTTAACCTGTGATGCAAAATGAAGGAGTTTCCCATAAAAGGCAATCCTGCCGGGCTCGGGCTAAAGTTTAGAAAACCTGAGCGTCTAGAGCCGGGCTTTACCAACACCGGCTGGAATAATCGAGGCCTCGTATCCAAACTCCGGCTTTGTTCGATCTCACTTCGATGACCTCAATGCTCCAGTGCACAGGGTCTGATTCGTCGAGGTGGTGTTGGCTTGGGCCATGTCTCTTCCAGGGCGGGCCTACACTTCGGGTACGATTTTCAGTGGCAGTGCATTGGAAGGTGCGGGAACGCCAGCTCTTCCCAATGGCAAGCGCTGATTAAAGCTCTGCGCCGGCTCTACTACTCCTCTCGGAAATCTCGCAGAGAGTTGTTCCCAAGCGAAAAATTAAGGCCCGTTCCCACTCTTGCGACTGACTGAGACCGAGAGAGACCAGACCGGTTTTTAAGCCTCTTGCGATCTCTTAGGACCAGCTCCGCTGCATCGCATCCGGTCCTAAGAAGTCGCAAAAGACTTAAAACCCGGTCTGGTCTCTCTCGGTCTTACTCGGTCGCAAGAGTGTGAACGGCAATTTACTGCTAGCGCGATTTTCATTGAGGTTCATTGCCCTATGGACAGACAGCGTCCTCTTGGAGAGACTGGTGGAAACCGGCCGACTCAACTATGATTTGCCTTACTCCCTCGAGAGGGCGCCACCATGCTTACGCCTTTGCCGTGATTATAAGGGCGTTTTCGGTACACTGTGTGTGTGTGTGTGCGCGTGTATGTGTGTGCGTGTGTTTGCGTGTGCGCGTGTGTGTGTGCGCGCGTGTGTGCGCGCGTGTGTGTGCGCGTGCGCGTGCGTGTGCGTGTGTGTACGTGCGTGTGTGTGCGCGTGTCTGTGTGCGTCGGTTATAATTCTTCGGCAAATCATGCACGACATGTTTTTTTTTATTGTTACTATTGCCTATCGCTCCAAAAGTAGGTAAATTCAATTAGAATTACTACTCTGTAAGGAGTAGTAGCTTAAATTCTTAGAGTAAAGGTGTTAATGTCGGGAGATGCATTAGATCAACAAAAGCCCGTAATGTACGTACTTTGGAATTTCCTTTGCTACAGATTTAGTACTAGATTTTTTTTTAGTTGGTTTTGCCAATTTATGCACTTTAATTTATTAACCCGTTAGTTATTTGTTTATTCATTTATCTACTTTTTTATTTAATTTATCCTGCAGCACCAGGGCATTCTAGCACGGAGGGGTCATGATCATTTGATATCTCGGCACATCGAAATATGCATATAATTATATGCCAATGTGCAAGTCATACAAAAATTGGACTATAAGGGAATGGCAGTTTATAAGTTATTACACAAAAAGAAAGTATTAATCACGGTTGTTCAACGAATGATTAAATGAAACATGATTAAAAATATATATATTGTTGGGTAACTTATTCAATTTCCAAATGTACATAAATAAAAACAAGTATTTGAAGGTATCAGATTCACAGTTGAATTCTTTAATATTGCAAGCCTCATCCGACCTTCGGGAAATAATGTATGAGAGATACGAAAACCTACCTTTGTTCGTTCGTTGGTTCGCTGTTTTTTTTTTTTCTTAGTATAATTGATGCATTAGTTTTAACCAAAAATATTTCTTCAAAAATACAGTGGCTCAAATTGAGGGTCATTCCGTATAGCACTCATCACACATAACTCTCATCATATGAAAGACCTCCCCGAAACAAATTTGACAGCTTTGTTTTAAGCTCTTTAAATTTGATCCATACGCACATTATGAAATTTATACCATATTTCATTAGCGTTTTCAAGAAACGATCGGGCATAACTGCAATAACCCGTTTTTCTAGCATTCAAGAAACGGCTTCAATAACCGAAAGAAAAATCTAAGACAAGTTTATTCAGTTATTAACGTTTGGAAGTTATTCTAAGTAGTGTATAGCAAAAGTAGAGAAATTCTTTCATGGCTTTTTTAAGAAGCTCGTGGCGTCCTTTTCTTGTGTTTTTCTCTTGATTTGTTAGTTTGGCGTTCCAATATTTGTGCTCTGTTAGAACAAACAAATCAGTTGTAAGTCAACGCTGCTGTTCGTCTGCCCTCTCCGTCTTGTCCGCTTTACTGAGATTTTCTTTTTCTTTAAGAGTTATAGTTGCGGTAATTCACACAGTCATCGTCGTACAGCTGGATGTCGGACAATACACACGTGGTAAGGAACATAACTCTTAACCCATAAGACCGTTGACTTTAAACACCATATTATTTAAAGCGAAATTTAAAGACTGTGATAGCCAGTGTCACATATGCTGACGGAAGAACCCAACGAGACAGATGCATGGGGTTCGTTTCTTTCGGTCGTTCGATCGAAGGAGCACAATATCAGTATCATGTATTGGGTAGTAATGAGAATGCAAATGTTTCTAATTACTGATGCAATAAGTAATACAACTCTGCCCCCCCCCCCCCTAATACGTCGGACGCCTCAGTACGAATCACTTAGGGAACAAAATAAACTAGTGATTTAATTACCACCCTATAATTAAGTTTGCACTGGTAGGGGTAGGGTAAAATGCGGATGGAGCGATTGAGTCGAACTATTACTTTTTTTTTTGTAAATTGTGACAACCCACGCACTATTCGATGCTTTTATTACAAATATATTAGTGTCCCTCCGTTCTGTTACCAGGACACGGAATCGGCGAGCAAGCGGAACTCGCACAATGCCGACATTAACACATGTACCGTTGTGGTAGACGCGCCCCACCACTCGACTTGGTTGTTTGCGTCGCCGCCCGCAGTTGATCCTGGCAAGCTTCTTGGCTCCATCTTTTACTGGAAGGGGGCTACGCTTTCTAACTCTAGAAGAAAAAACCGACCTGCGAAATACAACCTTGACGAAAATTTTAGATTGCTCCTTGCAGGCCAAGGGCGAATTTAGGAGGGGGGGGGGTCCGCCTTCCCGTTCTTAAGCTCCAGAACGTCAACTATTTAAATGAAATAATTTATATACACCAGCCAAAAGTTCAGTTTCTGGAGACATAGCAAATAATGGGTCAATCAAATAGACCTCAGCAACCTTTCGACCGTAGCGCCATATCTCAGCAGAGGCCCCCCCCCCCCCCCCCCCCCCCCCCGGACGCGTATTAGCAAGCCATATCCCGTACAGTGCCTGGCCACGCCCCCTTCGGCTCGACGCAAAAGCGGCAATTTCATTGGTTTTGAAAATGTCACGTGACATGACGTCACTTCCGCGCCGTTTGAACGCATTTGACCGCGTTTTCGTCTCGTCAAGATGGCGTCCGCCGCTACGCTGGTGGGTGAGACGCACGTTACGCTGCGCCGCTGTAAACACTTCGTTTCACGCGCGTGCCTAGATGACTCGAATGCTTTCAGCTTCGCGATGTGAACTCGTTTTTCGGTAAGATGAACGCCCAGGACTGCACGCCGAGATGATGCCACCGCATACGCGCCGCTGCCGAAGTCGCCCATACGAGTACGACCACTACGATCGTTGAAGTTCGCCGCTGCACCGTAGCACCAAATGCTAGCAACTAATGCTTTCACCTCGGCGATGTGAACTCGTTTTTCGGTAAGATGAACGCCCAGGACTGCATGCCGACATAATGCTACAGAATTCGCTGTAGCATTATGTCGTGAGATGCGCAACTCCAACCTACTGCGGTACATTTACTGAAGGTGTCAGTCATTCTGAGGGGCCCGAGTACTTTGATGGTGATAGAACGACACCGCCATCGCTTTCCGAATTCGCACTGGAACGCGCGTAGACGTCAGGCGCACAGCGCGCCCGTGTCACGATTAGGCGCGAATTCGCGTAACGAGAACATATTCACGTATAAAAAGCATTGCGTCCGCGTCGAGCCGTCCTCCCGCTAGCATTTGGTGCTACGGTGCAGCGGCGAACTTCGACGATCGTAGTGGTCGTACTCGTATGGGCGACTTCGGCAGCGGCGCGTATGCGGTGGCATCATCTCGGCGTGCAGTCCTGGGCGTTCATCTTACCGAAAAACGAGTTCACATCGCGAAGCTGAAAGCATTCGAGTCATGCAGGCACGCGCGTGAAACGAAGTGTTTACAGCGGCGCAGCGTAACGTGCGTCTCACCCACCAGCGTAGCGGCGGACGCCATCTTGACGAGACGAAAACGCGGTCAAATGCGTTCAAACGGCGCGGAAGTGACGTCATGTCACGTGACATTTTCAAAACCAATGAAATGGCCGCTTTTGCGTCGAGCCGAAGGGGGCGTGGCCAGGCACTGTACAGGATATGGTTTGCTAATACGCCCCCCGGACAACCCCCACCCCTTCTCCACCAGCCGAATGCCTACCGCCCCACCCTGGCCTGACCCATAAATCCGCCCCAGGTGCAGGAGTCCATTTTTACGGTCCATTTTAGATCAAACCTTGAGACTTCATTCACCCTATATTTTATGTACAGTGTTGCCATCGGGTTAAATTGAAAATAGCTCTGGTATGGTTGTGTTTCGCTGTATCTTGCTTTCTCGTATTAATATGCTTAAGCGAACTGTAACGAAAGGATTGCTTCCTTCATTGGCGTATTTATTGATGTGATGATTTCTTTCCAGGAATTCAACTTCGACGTGAGTACGCTGGACTGGAAGCAGTTCCTCTTCCGCTATGCCATTGGCGCGAGAGACATCCTCCTCAAGGAGGACCACTCCAAGGTCAAGTGCCGAAACTATCAGAGGTGTGGACGCATTTCCTTTTTTCCTCTTTGCCCTTAGACTTCGGGGGGTACCCGGCTTTTATTTCACGGTTGCCGATTTGCCTCAAAATTGCCTAGACGCACCAACGAACGTCGCTGAGCTCGTAAAGGCTCGTTCACGCAGTTGCGTCGACTGCGTTGCGTCGTGCAACACAGCACCCCCCCCCCCCCCCCCCCCTTCGCTCGTTTCGGGTCAAGAGATCCAACGAGTCAAAAGATCCAAAGAGTCAAAAGGTCCAATAATGGACCTTTTGACTCGTTGGATCTTTTGACTCGCCAGACACGAGTCAAAAGATCCAATGTGGGTTAAGAGGTCCAACGAGCCAAGAGATCCAACGAGTCAAAAGATCCACGGCGAGTCAAGAGGTCCAACGAGTCAAGAGGTCCAACGAGTCAAAAGGTCCAACGAGTCAGAAGGTCCAATAATGTATCTTTTGACGCGTTAGATCTCTTGACTCGGAAGACACGAGCCAAAGAGATCCATTGTGGGTCAACAGCTCCAATTGCTCGAGAACTGCCGCTTCATATTGCAAAGGGGCCACGGAAAGCCCCTCACCACTCCTCCCCTAGTCTCGGGGAGGCGTTGTACAATAAAGATCAGTTGACAACTTAATTAAATGCCTTAGTTTTGTTTTTTTACAAAAAGTGAAACAGATTTAGGTTTGAGGGGCGCCGCTCAACTACGCACCGTTTTCCGGTTTGCGGCCCGCAAACCGGCGCGAGGGGGCCACCCGGAGACATCCAGTTTCGTGTCCCTGGCTATGGGAAGTGGGGAGGGAGCGCTTTTCTTCGCTTCGGGTAGATGGCGCCACTAAAACTTTGCATAATAAAAGTCAAGGCGTCTGTTCACGTTTTCACGACAACATTAAAACAAAAATTAGCCTCAAATCGAGCAGACACTTACTACGCTTGCTAGCTTAATACACCTTCAACCAGTTCAACAGTTGAGCGCGGCTCATGCTTGGATTGGAAACAAGGACTACGTGAACACTCGACTTCGGCTCGTGACAATCAATGTCTCGGCGGACACTCGGGTTGTGGCTCGTGTCCAACCACTTCGGTTATGAAAATAGCGAAACTCTAACAATGTCTGAGCTCAGCACGAGTTCTCTATTTTGTCGAGCCCAGCACGTGGGTATGATTAACGTTGAAGGTAAGGGATAGTCACCAGGTCACGTGGCCGCTTGTTCTGGCTCCGAGTTGAGAGGACGAACGATGCTCATATTTCTCGAATTTTATTGGCGACTGCCATTGCCTAGAAAGAACAATTAATGCAAGTTTATTCAGTTATTAACGTTATTGAGTGATTCTAATTACTTTTTAGCAAAAGTAGACGAATCGTTTTAAGGCTCATTTAGGATGCGCTTTAGGTGGCCACCTCGGAGAGAGGAACTCCCGATAATTCACCGGTTCTTTTCGTGCAGGTAAGATATCGAACTTGGCCAATGTGAAGGCAATATGACAATTTTCTTTCTAATAAACTTTCAGGTTCGATATAAGACACATCGAAATTTAAATTAGCATTTGATAAACGGTTGCTGTAATGGATCATGGGATGCAAGATTCCAAATATGTCCTAAGGTTGAAAGCTGGGCTAGTTGGTAATGTTGGACATAATGGAATAAAACAGCGCAAAGATAGAAATAGGAAGAGACAAACCAGACAGGACAGAGCGCTGACTCGCAACTACGGCTTCTTTACTCAACGACAAAGAAAAAGACAGAAAGAAAACAAAGATAAAAAATATACAGAAAAAGACGAAAAAAAGACACGAGTGTACGCAATCCCACGCGCACCTTTCACCCATGGTAGCTGACTACGGCAAGTGCTGGACCCACATCAACTTCAGGAATTCCAGCTCCTTGCCTGACAACGCCACCGATGCTGCGCTGATACACCTTTTTCCTCTACTCTGGATGTGGAATGCCTCCAGCACCTCGCGTGTCACTTTGTCCCTGTGTCGTCCCAAGATGGTGGTGGCACTAAAAAACGGCTCGCACAGGCACTCTTTGCAGTGAACCGATAGGTGTCCTCCTACTGTCGCTCCGAGGGAGTACCTGTGTTCGCGGAGCCTTTCATTCAGGCACCGTCTCGTTTGTCCCACGTAGGTGCAGACGCACGAGAGGGGGATGCTGTAGACTACTCCCGTGGCACATGGGACGAACGGCCTGGAGTGCTTCTTGCTACACTTGTTTCTTGCGATTCCCTCTGCCTTCGCCTGAACTCTGGGGCAGATCTGGCTCATTTTTTGTGGTGCGGAGAAAACCACTTCACCCTTGAGAGCACGGTGTCCTTTCCGGTAAAGCCCGCAATGTCAGTAGCCAGAAGGGGGGGGTACTGGACGGCTTCAAGCAACAGGATGTCACCGGGTGGTGCTGGTTCGTCAACACCTCCAGGCAGTGGCAGCCGGCTTAGACCATCCGCGTTAGAGTTGTCTTGACCCTTCCAGTACTTAATCTGGTAGTTGTAGGCACTCAACAGGAGTGTCCACCGTAGCATTCGAGGTGAAAGGACCTCAGGCATGCGCTTGTCTGTGCCGAACAATCCCAGTAACGGCTTATAGTCCGTTATGATCGTAAAACTTCTTCCTGCCAGATATTGGTGAAAGTGTCTAACCCCGTAGACAACGGCAAGACCCTCTCGGTCGATTTGTGCATAATTCCGCTCGCTCTTGTCAAGAATATGGAGGCATATGCGATAGGAAGCTCATTCCCGTCGTCGTCTTGGTGTGCCAACACTGCTCCAACCCCCACTGGTGAGGCGTCATAGCATTGCACCAGAGGACGACTGGTTTCGTACTTCACCAGAAGCGACTCGGAAGTCAGCAGTTTCTTGAGGCTCTCAAAAGCGTTCTGGTGTTCCCTTGTCCAGGTCCACTTACGTCCGTCGTCTAGCAGGCGATGCAAAATCTCTGCAACCACTGCCTTCCCTTCCAGGAATCGACTGTAGAAGTTCACCATGCCCAAGAAGGCCTGTAGTTCTTTTTTGTTAGTTGGAGCTGGAGCGCTGTGGATTGCTGCAACCTTGCTGGCACTTGGGTGGATCCCCGAAGCATCGATCTTGCGTCCAAGGTACTCTATGCTTGTCTTGCCAAACTGGCACTTTTCCTTGTTGACCCTCAGTCTGGTGTCTTGTAACTGTCGCAACACAGCCTCCATACGCTCGTTGTGTTCTTGTTTCGTTTTTCCCGAGATGATGATATCATCCAGGTACGCTACAACACCAGGGATTCCAGAGATCAGACTGTCGACGACACGCTGAAACAGTCCCGGCGTTGCCGAAACACCGAAAGGCAGTCGTCGGACGCTGTAAAGTCCTTTCAAGGTGTTGATTGTGAGGAGCTCTGCAGACTCATCGTCCAGCTTCAGCTGCTGGTAGGCCTGCGCGAGGTCGAGTTTCGTGAAGATGCAGATGGTGCCTATTGCCGCAAACACTTCGGTAGTGGTCGGTGGAGGGTAAACATTGCTTTTCACTGCCTTGTTCACCGTACTTCAATAATCCCCACACAGTCTCAGGGACCCGTCTTTTTTTCTTACCACTACCAGTGGCGTCGCCCAGCTGGCATACTGGGTAGGCTCCAAGATGCCTTGCTTCTGGAGGCGGTCCAGTTCGTTGTTGACGTCTTCACGAAGGGCAAATGGCACTGGACGATACTTGAGGAACTTCGGCTCAGCGGTGTCTTTCAGTTCAATGTGAAGGGGTGCTCCTGTGAATCCCCGCAAGTCGCTGCCGAAAATCTCCTGAAAAGCTTCCGTTAGGTCCTCTTCGGAGCTGCTCAGCTTTTGGATGCCTTGCACTCCAATCCCCAACGCTGGAAACCAGTTTCTGCCCAACAAACTGTTTCCTTGCCTTCCGACCGCTAGCAACGGCAATGTTGCAACGTGATCTCTGAACATGATGTCCACCATCGCTTTACCGAGGATCGGCAGCGTTTCACTGGACCATGTGACCAGCTTGGTGCTCAATTACACGATAGGGGTCTTTTCTTCTTGAGCTTGCTTCAATTTTCCTGAACGTGTCTTCGCTGACTATCCAACAGGATGCACCAGAGTCCACTTCCATGGTGACTTGCTCATTTGCAATGGAAACCTCGACCATGTATTTCTTGGGTGCCTCGGTTAGCTCGCAGATGGAGAATAACTCATCCACTTCGTGGACCTGTTTTGCGTTTCCACGCTTGTTTCCCGTCGCTGGCTTCACCGCCTGTTTTTTCGAACGACACGCTGCCGCGATGTGCCCTAGCTTCTGAGACTTATAACATGTCGAAGTCGTGAACTTACACAAAGTTGGAAGATGCTTACCGTTACAACGGTAGCAACTCTCCTTTCTTTTCGCGAGGCGAGCTCCTCTTTGCGGTTGCATGCACGCTGGCGTCCCCGTCCGCGACTGTCTTTCGATCCTCGTTGATGTCCTTCAGCTGCCTGGCTGCGGCTTCCGCCGTGAGCGCCAGTCATACGCCGCGTCGAACGTCAACTTGTGTTCGGCGAGCAGCATCTGTTGTATCGCCTCGCTGCGAATTCCACACACAAAACGATCACGGAGCATGACATCGAGCGGCAACTGTTTGTTCCCGAACTCACAGTCGCCCGCTAGCTTGCGGAGAGCTGTCACGTAGTCCGCTGCTGTGCCGCCGCTGTGGCCGCTTCTGCCGCCGTGGGTGTTCCTTTGTTCTCTAACTGACGTCGCCGTTTAGGCTTAGTTTCTCGTCGCCAGTTGTAATGACTTGAGCCGAACACATCGCGGTCTTGGTGACGACTGGTAGGTTTTGCTTTTCCGTTCCGATAACAAACAGATAACAAGGTTGACAACCAAAACACGAAGTCCGCTAAACATAGCGAAAACAGTGAAACTTGTCACTACATTACACTATTCTCTTCTCTCATCCCCCTCTCTTCTGTTGCTTTGTTATTAGAAGCGGGATCTGACCCCGCTGGCAGTGCAGTGACCGTCACGCCCCTCCTTGCCACCCGAAAGCCGTCATT